ATTGTAATTTAATTTTACACTTTTAAAAGAAAATACAAATGTACCGTAGGCCGGGTTTTGATTGCGTATCTAATAGATTGTGAATTTGAAAAATAACTAGTTTGCGTTTCCAACAATTGCGAGATGCTAGCTAGCTAGCCATACTCACAAGTTAACTGATTGTCTTGTTTCTCTCCTTTGCCATCTAAAGCTACTGCCCACAGCTTGATTAACTTCCTTCACGATGTTAGGGGCATTTGGACTTAACTAGATGAGGTAATTGGGGCTGTAAATATCACAGGATACCACTCATGATACTGTAAATGAAACACGTGTAGAGAAAAGGATTGATAGGTGTGGCGTGGCGTTTATCAATTATTATTAATTACGTAGATTATTTAGGTGCGATTCCTTTCTTTGCAAGATGTATTCCATACTCACGATTTGCAATCGAAAAATCTTGTAATCAAACCTGGCCTACGGTACCACCAAATATTACCATCTGTTATAGATGTATGTACTTGTATATGAGTGTGATTTTATTATTTGTATGTTAGGTTGATGGTAAACGTGTTCCATTACAGTATGACAGAGTACTTTGTGATGTCCCCTGTAGGTAAGTACCATATCAGTATACCAGGGTTTTACACAGGATTTTGCCATAGTGAATTAGGATTATGGGCCATAAGGGTCACAGGCCAAATTTAGCCAAAATTGAAAAGGAGAGAATTTGTCCCTTTTATTTTTTTATACATATACATGTACTTATATTGTGTAGAAGGTTTGAGCTGATTCTAATCAAAACTGGATTTTATATGAATTTTTTAAGTTGCTCGAAAATTAGCCAATGTCCCTGTACTATAGTACAGGGTCAAAAGCCAAGTTCTGCCAAAATTGAGAAGGAGAGAATTTGCCATTTTATAATTTTCCTGATACAGTACAGTACATATACATGTACATGTACTTACATTGTATGTTGTGTATCAGCTTTGCCAATCAAGTTTGGATTTTTTATAAATTTTAAAGTTGCTCCAAATGCTATGTACAGTTACATGCATGTACTGTATTATAGTGCTTATCAGCTCATCAAGCGTGCTGTTTAGCTCACTTAGCTAACTTTGTAGGAAACCCTGGGTATATGTACATGTAGTTTTGAACTCGTAGCATTTCTTATATGTATGTGCAGATGTAATTAACTGTACTGAATGCATTACTTACATGTACTTGTATAATAATTACTGTATAATTTAAAACATGATGGAACAAAAACAGGGTTCAAAGTGTACCTTTTTTAAAACAATGCATTTTTGGTGCTGTATAAACTCAGCCTTATTTATTATTAGAAATAGGTACATGTACATATTATTTACATGTATGTACATTTGTAAATGTTGTTTTGTCTTATTCGTTTCTTATTACTGTATTCAGTGGTGATGGTACTATGAGAAAGAATCCAACAATATGGAGATCATGGAATTCTAGTACACCATTATCATTGCACAGGTAATGTACTGTATCAATACTTTGTACAAATGTATAATAATTACCCACATATTTTGCTGTTTGGTAAATTGAGCACATCAATACTTGTAATGTACATGTACATGTACATCATTTACAGAATTTATTTGCTAATTTAATGTTATTTTATAACCTTACGAAGACTATTAGGCTACATGTATGTGGTTTGTGACATTTTTCTGCAGTTGTGTACAATTTTTATATTTTTTTCAGATTACAATTAAGACTGCTGATGAGGGGTCTGGAATTATTGAAGCCAGGGGGTAGGCTGGTCTATTCAACATGTTCAATGAATCCAATAGAAGATGAAGCAGTTATTGCTGGAGCATTGAAGTTGTGTAATGGATCAGTGGAACTGGTGGACACTTCTTCACTGTTACCTGGTCTGAAAAGGACAAATGGAGTTAATACATGGAAGGTAAGTAACTGTCTCATATCACTTATCTTTAGCTGATTTCTGGTCCTATTTTTAATTTATTGAAGATTGTTATTAAAAATAAACTGTCACATTTTAGCTGATTTTGATCAAAATTGGATTTTTAATGATTTTTCACACATCATTAATGGTCGCCAATTTTGTGGTAAAAATTATGTTGTAGGTGAAATATACATATACTGTACAAAAGTATAAAGGGCCAATAAAAATGTAATGGAGAATTCTCTCCTAGCCATTTTTGATGAAATTTGAGCATAGACCAAAGTTACATGTACATGTACATGTAGCTATAGCTTTTGGTTGTTGGCTCAATTTTTGAGCAACTTTAGAAAATTTTTAAAAAAATCAGGATCAGCTCAAAGCTGATAAACAACATAAGATCATGTATATGGAATTTGGCCAATGTGCATGTATATGTATCAGAAAGTGTAATGAAAATTGAGAATTCTTTTCTTCCCCTGTACTATAGTACAGGGCCTTTTGCTAAATTTTAAAGCAACTTTAAAATATTTCTATTACAAATACAGGTCTTAACAAAGAATGGTGAATGGATTTCATCATATAAAGAGACTCCGTCTAATTTACTACACACAGTCCATTCATCAATGTTCCCTCCTACTGCACTAGAGGCTGACACATATCAGTTGAACCGATGGTACTTTATATTATCGTATAATTTACATACATGTACCGGTACATGTACATTTTTAGATTCTCGCATTCAATATATGCACTATCATACACAGATACATGTATGTTATAATTTATGAACAAGTACAGTATTAGTACATGCACACACACACACAAGCATCACATCAATAATAATAGTAATAGTACTACATACATTAATATTACATACATGTAAATTGTAAAACCTGTGGTTTTTTCCAAAAAATGGCTCCGAAATCACCCCGATTTTTTATTACATTTTCTGATACATATTGATGTCCTTATGCTGTGTAGAAAGTTTGAGCTGATTCTGACTTCAATTTTTCAAGTTACGGCCATTTTAAGAAAATGTCAAAATTCTGAAAAATACCCAAGGCTATAGCCCATGGTTTTTTCCAAAAAATGACTCCGAAATCACCCCAATTTTTTATTACATTTTCTGATACATATTGATGTCCTTATGCTGTATAGAAAGTTTGCTGATTCCAACTTCAATTTTTCAAGTTACGGCTATTTTAAGAAAATGCCAAAAATTCTGAAAAATACCCAAGGCTAAAGCCCATGGTTTTTTCCAAAAAAATGGCTCCGAAATCACCTCAAATTTTTATTAAATTTTCTGATACATATTGATGTCCTTATTCTGTATAGAAAGTTTGAGCTGATTCCAACTTCAATTTTTCAAGTTACAGCCATTTTAAGAAAATGCCAAAATTCTAAAAAATACCCAAGGCTATAGCCCATGGTTTTTTCCAAAAAATGGCTCCGAAATCACCTCAAATTTTATTACATTTTCTGATACATATTGATATCCTTATGCTGTATAGAAAGTGAGCTGATTCCAACGTAAATTTTTCAAGTTACAGCTATTTTAAGAAAATGCCAATTAGCCTTGGCTACTTTCCAAAAAATGGCTCCGAAATCACCCCAATTTTTATTACATTTAAAAATACATATTGATGTCCTTATGCTGTGTAGAAAGTTTCAGCTGATTCCGATTATGCAATTGATTTATTTTTTATTGTTCATTATTTTATTTATTAAATTTTTTGGATAATAATTAGCTCATACATGTACATGTACTTTCTTTTTTATTTATGTACTCTTGCATTGGAGCATGCAGAATAAACAAATGTACATAGGTTTATGTACATGTATAATGGTTGTATAATTTCAGTTTCAACATAATTATGCACAGTAATATTGTTTAATAAACTCTTTTTTTCTCTCACAGTATTAGAATCTTTCCTCATCAACAAGATACTGGAGGATTCTTTGTTGCTTTGCTCAGCAAGACGTCTCCATTACCGTGGCAAGTCCAACCGTCAAACAGTGGACCTACAGTTAAAAGACCTGATGAGCTAACTGGGAGGTCAGTATATACTAATAGAATTAATCACCAAAATAAAATCAACTCCATTTACTGTACAAGATGATTATTGGCGAGAGTAATATTTGACGAATTTGCCTGTGAAAAGTTGATTGGCGGATTTTATATTGGCGATTTTGTGCCACGTGCCATTGAGCATGCTCAGATTGAAACAAAATGGCAGATTTTATATTGGCGATTTCTTCATAGAACCGCCAATCGCCAATATTAATTCCTCACCAATAAATTATCTTGTACTGTAGTTTCCTTCTTGACATACTCAATTAAATGTACTTGACTACAAATTTACCATTATAATACCGCCTGACTAATGCATGTACATGTACATTGTACTTATAGAATTGTCCATATTAATCACCACCAGATTTTCCCATTACAAAGTACATGACATGTCATAACCTTTCATTGACAAAACTCTACCAATAATACAGTAATATGAATTATGTGATGAAAATCATGAAATTCAAATATTTGCTGAAATTTGGTTTTACTGTTTGTCCCTCAAAGTGTACAATTTAATTCCACCAATTATTGAAGTAATGAATGTACCATGTAGCGGGTAAATTTTGAGGGGCTCAATTTTGGCAAATTGCTAAATTTTGGTGATTGGCGGTTTTTTAATTTGGCGAATTTGTGGCATGCCTCAAAATAGCGGATTTCTGTTTTGGTAAATGGCTATGAAAGTGTCAAATTCGCCAAATTTAATTTCCTCCAAAATTTTCCACTATATGGTATCAGGCTATCAGCAACTCACGTCTACACGAGCAAAATTAAATTCCTCATACTTTAATTTTGTTCTGATCGCACAATACAAGTCCCACAAACATTTTATAACTATACATTACTTATGTATCATAATTAAAGTCTTGTATTCATTTACGTAGGCATGGGTTTGAAAGGAAGTCAAGGAAACAAACATACAGAGAGGATCCTTATGTGTTCCTACCTAGAACCGATTCTGTAGTTGAAAGTATTAGGTAAGTAATAGTACTGCACATGCACGTCTTAATTTTCGAAGTGTATTAAATTTTGCTATTTTTGTGCTCACCTTAAATCCACAAAATTTAAACCACCTCTAATGCCATTCTATTGTATGTAGACTATGGCCGGAACACGAAAATTAGCTCACATGAATATTAACTTTTGAGCACATTTCATTGAAAACACGAAATTTTAAACACTCAGAAATCTGAACGTATACAGTATGTGTATTTATGTTAAAGGTTATCATTACTGTTACACATAGTTACATGTACATGTACAGTGTAGCCTTTATATAATTATACTCTGTTATACAGAGGTGTCCTTTATGTAGAGGTTATTTTATACAGTAAGGAATGTAATTGGATGCACTAGGTGCTGTCCGTTAAATGGAGGTGTATGCTATAGATTATACTGTAATTGCTGTACATGTAATACCGTATAGCTCCAAATTTTTTTCGGTAAAATTTTTTTTCAAATTTGTCTGGTAATTTTGTTTCACAAAATTTTTGTTCCACATGGGTAGTATGCATATTAATAGTAAAAAAGACAAAAATTTTAATGACGAAAATATTAATTTTAAAAAGAGATTAAGATTTTGACAAAATTTTGACTGACGAAAATTTGGAGCTATACGATATTCACTGATAGTCAGTCTATCTTTGTCTTGTGTTAATCTCTTATTATTGTCTTTGTTTCTGATACATTTCTAGTTCTTATTACAACATATCGAGTGATTCTGGTATTACTGATCAATTCTTAACACGTACACTGACCGGGAAAAAGAAAACACTCTACCTTACTTCTCCCCTAGTTCAAGAAATAACTAAGAAGAATGAGAAGGATTGTAAGGTACATGTACATGTATTACTGTCCTTTTATAGTATGCTATTATATTTTAGATTATTAATACTGGAGTGAGGGTCTTTGCTAGAACAGAGAGTCTTGACAGTGCATGTGAATACAGGATAACACAAGAAGTATGTTACTACTAATACATGTACAATTACAAGCAATACAATAGCTGCTGGAGTCAACTAAAGTCCATTTGTGTTCACCTGAGCCCTTGTTTTCTTGCAATAACTTTTGACTTACAAGTTCTATTATAAAAATAAACATACCAGTGCATTCCTCTCCTTTTGCCGCATCTATTGTACTACTTAAGAAGCAGCTTTAGCTCTTTAGCTCCAAGTTGGTTGTATAACCCATGCAGAAAGTACAGCCATACTTTTCACAATATTATTGCATTGTGTTAATTATTGGGTGGGGTTTCTAATCACTTCCTGGGCTCAGGTGAATGCAAATGGACTTTAGTCTTTATAAAGGCAATCATTATCAGAAAATCTTGCCCTGTTAGCTTTTAAAATGAAGAATTATCAGTTTGGGCCTCGACCACATGTTCTTATGTAAACTATGACGTAAAAAATTGTCATAAAACGTCATTTTGGTATGCCATTGGGTTTATAGGGAGGACCCAGTTCTCAGGGTTCCCAAGGGCTGAGAGACCCAAGACCTGAGATCCTGTGATGGCATTGGGCGACTAAGAACCTATGAAATTTTTATCCTTATCCCACATTCCTATAAAAAGTTATTCCAGTTTTTCTTGGGTCAAACTCAGTTGGGATATAGTATAGATCTAGAGGAAATTTATGAGGCTTTAATTTGGTCTAGTCTCCTAAAATTTCCTATTAGCCTATGTAGTATGTACATGTATGTCTTTAAGTCTCCCATTTTCAGTTACATGTATGTAGTTTCTCAAAGTTTATTTCTAGATCTAACAATGATTATTATGTATGCATGTACATGTAAATGCTTGTTTGCTTTGTTACCTTCTATTGTTTGGAATGTTGGTTTGTTATTGAAATACAGATTTGTGCACTATTCTATATGCTACATGTTTGTAGAAAGTTTGAACTGATTTCAGAAACATTTTTGAGCTATACAAAACAAGCCATTTTTGAAACAAGCAAAGCTTTACCCTTGATTTTTCCAAAAAAAGGCTTAGAAATCACCCCAAGTTTTTATTACATTTTCTGATACTTGTGTACATGTATTAACTATGTATTTATGCTGTGTAGAAAGACAATTTTTAAACAAGACAATTTTTGAAAAAAGCAAAGGCTATTTAATAGCCCATGGCTTTTTCAAAAAATGGCTTCGAAATTGCCTCCAATTTTTCTTGCTTTTTAAATACACATTGATGTTGTCCTTATGCTGTGTGGAAAGTTTGAGCTAATTCCGCCAAATATTTTTTAGTTATGAGCGTTTTTAAAAATGAACTAATTTTTTTAAAAAGACAAAATTAACGTGAATTAAATAACATTACAAGCATGGGCATTTAGTCACTGTAAATGGGCTGAATAGGCTGGTGGAGAGCCTCGTGGTGGATGATCATATTCCTTTGTGGGATACTCCTCCTGTGGTGGATAGCCAGGCTGGGCAGGATATCCCTGCTGTGGTGGATAAGGAGCTTTTTCTTCATCAAAGCCAGCAGGAGGATAAGCTACTGCTGGTGGTAGCTGTTGATCATAAGTAGGAGGAGGTGGTGCAGTAGCATTACTAGTATTAGTAGTAGTTACTATGGCACCAGAAGTTACTTCTGTAGCAGCAGGTCCAGTATGGATCCTTCTAGCAGCAGTAGCAGCACCATAAGTTCCAAAACCAAAAAAGCAACACATGCAAATTAAAATCGCGCAGTATGCCATGCAGAATAATATGACAAATCCAGCAAATACTCCTCCAATGATGCTTCCTATATTATCGAAATCATCACTGCTAGAACCTATAGGAATGGTAGAACTATGAATTAATTACCTTGTATAGACATTAGGTAGTCAATTAAAATCTATTACTTTTTAACCCATATATACCGTATAGGAGGATTTGTTGACGGGAGTGTTCTTTTGCGGTTTTGTGATGGCTAGCTTATTGTTGGATTTACTATTGGTAATTTCAATTATATCCCCACCCTTAGGATGGATTTTACTTAAGCAGGTGTGATTACACATGCTAATGCATGCATTTATTATGGAGACTTTGACTCTTGCAAGCTGTATACCGTATGGAAGGAAATTTTGGAGGTAGTTAAATTTGGCGAATTTGGCGTTTTGATAGCCATTCGCCAAAATTAAAATTCGCCATTTTGAGCCATTATACGCATGCTCAATGGCACATGGCCACAAATTCGCTAAATTAAAATTCGCCAATCACCAAAATTTAGCAATTCACCAAAATTTAGTCCCTCCAAAATTTCCTTCTGTATGGTACATGGACAACATTATTATGAGAGAAAGACTTAACTTTTCCTGAATATTGTGTTCTCTATTGTCCTGGCTTAAGGAAACATAATAAAGCCATGTTAGCGAGTCTTAACCATGCTTTAACTAAAATTAACATGGGCATGGTCACACGCATGAATCGAATTATACTTGCCGATTTTAATTGGTGTTTTTATATAAATTTGTCAATCTGCCAATATAAAATCCCCGTCAACATTTCATCTTATACGGTATGTGACAAAACCAGGCTAATGCTCCAAAATTGAAAATTAAGGTTTAAGCTCTTCTTAAATAAGCTTGACTTTTCCTTGCTTTAGGTCTTTGTCCCATGTCATTTGACACATCCAGTGCTGACTCTGCCAAGTTATGATAGTATACATATACATGTATGCAACAAGAATTTTGAATCAATGTAATTGAGTTATAGCCGTTTTTATGCATTTGGCTTGCGTTATTTACATGCTGCTCTACGAAAAAGGTCTTTAAAATATCATCTGTAACTCTTTTATTAGCAAATTTGGTATCAAATAAGAGAAAATTTTATATTATACATGTAATTATGATACATTTTTGATAAAACCTCAAATTTGATAAGGTACCACTGTCACAACTTTGGGAAGCCATATCTCTAATTTATAATTCCCCACAGGTAGCCTGGTTTTGTCATATCGGTCACATATGTCAGTGCGCACACTACATAAACCTTTACTTTTACATTCCTCCCAAGCAAAATGACTGTAATAATAGTGCTAGAACAACTTACTTTGACAGTAAGCAGTATTAATCAAGCCAACTAGTAGCAGGAGGACACTTAGTAATCCCATTATTCACACAAGACTGAGATACCAGCAGTTATCTACTAGAATAGACAGTAGTGAGTAGCAGCTACAAGAGTAAAGTGACACATCAGCATTGTTTTGCTCTAAAAGTCAACTTGGCCACGCCCGCAACAATGAATAGAATTTCAATCATGCATAAGCTTTCACACTGAGAGCATGTTGTAGTAACTAAAGCCTATGTAGGGATAGCCCCTGGGATCAACATATGTATATGAGCTAAGCATATGATCAAAGGCAGGAGTTATGTATTCTGAAAGTGGCCAGACATGCAAGTACTTCAAAGTAAACAGGATGACAAAAATTGCCAATTATGCCTGCCCATCTACTTATAGCTAAATTAATTACTTTGAAACGATTAACAATTTTGGTCCCATAGGACTTCAAAAGTTATGTTATTAACAATATGATAATATCAAAGCCTAGGAAAACACAACTTTACTAACTCAGCTACAGCTTGTACTCAATATGCATTCTAATATTAAAGAAGTCGGTTAATATTGTGCTAGATAGGCTGATGGAGGATATTTTTATCCTTTTTGAAGTGGATAGCTAGGCTGAGCTTCATAGCCTTGTACTGGTTAGGCATATAGCCAGGCTGAATAGGATATCCTTGCCGAGGTGGATAAGGAATTTCCTCATAACATAAGCTACTATTGGTGATGGTTGTTGATTATATAGAAGAGGTGGTGCAGCAATGTCAGTTAAAGCAGCACTAGTACTAGCTACTAGTACTATTATAGCACATCCATTCCTTTGATTGCAAGCACCAGCACTGTTTCCAACACCCAAGCAGCAACATGCACCCAAGGTTATAGCCCATGGTTTTTCCAAAAATTGGCTCCAAAATTACCCTAAATTTTTATTACATTTTTAATGTCCTGACGTTGTGTAAGAAGTTTAGCTGATTTCAGCTTATTTTTTGAGTTGTAAGCATTTTTAAAATGAGCCATTTTAAAAAAAATACCAAGGCTATAGCCAGGCATGGGGTCAAGCACTTGATGCTTGTCCTTCAGTACAAATAAGCACAGCTTTCTAAGTACTTAGTGCTGCTTACAAGTACCTTTTTAATATAATCTATGTGCTTTGTACTTATACTTCATTACTTTTACAAATTTTCAAAAGTGCTTTTAAACACAGCAAAAATTACACACAAATAGTGTACATGTACATGTACACATCTACATCTACACGGTACATCTACATGTTGATGTCATGTACATGTATCACTACATGTAGATGTACATGTAGTGGTACATGTACATGACATCGACATGTAGATGTACCATGTAGATGTACATGTAGATGTGTACATGTACATGTACACTATTCGTGCGTAATTTTTGCTGTGCTTAAAAGCACTTTTGTAAATTTGTAAAAGTAATCAAGTATAAGTACAAAGCACATAGATTATATTAAAAAGGTACTTGTAAGCAGCACTAAGTACTTAGAAAGCTGTGCTTATTTGTACTGAAGGACAAGCATCAAGTGCTTGACCCCATGCCTGGCTATAGCCTTGGTATTTTTTTAAAAATGGCTCGTTTTAAAAATGCTTACAACTCAAAAAATAAGCTGAAATCAGCTAAAACTTTTTACACAGCGTCAGGACATTAAAAATGTAATAAAAAATTTGGGGTAATTCTGGAGCCAGTTTTTGGAAAAACCATGAGCTATAACCTTGGGTACATGTTGCTGTTTGGATGTTGGAAACAATGCTGCTGCTTGCAATCGAAGGAATGGATGTGCTATAATAGTACTAGTAGCTAGTACTAGTGCTGCTTTAACTGACATGGCTGCACGACCTCTTCTGCATAATCAACAACCATCACCAACAGTAGCTTATGTATGAGGAAATTCCTTATCCACCTCAGCAGGGATATCCTAGTCAGACTGGCTATATACCTAACCAGTACAAGGCTATGAAGCTTAGCCTAGCTATCCACTTCAAAAAGGATAAAAATATCCTCCATCAACCTATCTAGCACAATATTAACCGACTTCTTTAATATTAGAATGCATATTGAGTACAAGCTGTAGCTGAGTTAGTAAAGTTGTGTTTTCCTAGGCTTTGATATTATCATATTGTTAATAACATAACTTTTGAAGTCCTATGGGACCAAAATTGTTAATCGTTTCAAAGTAATTAATTTAGCTATAAGTAGATGGGCAGGCATAATTGGCAATTTTTGTCATCCTGTTTACTTTGAAGTACTTGCATGTCTGGCCACTTTCAGAATACATAACTCCTGCCTTTGATCATATGCTTAGCTCATATACATATGTTGATCCCAGGGGCTATCCCTACATAGGCTTTAGTTACTACAACATGCTCTCAGTGTAAAAGCTTGTGCATGATTGAAATTCTATTCATTGTTGAGGGCGTGGCCAAGTTGACTTTTAGAGCAAAACAATGCTGATGTGTCACTTTACTCTTGTAGCTGCTACTCACTACTGTCTATTCTAGTAGATAACTACTGGTGTCTCAGTATTGTGTTAATAATGGGATTACTAAGTGTCCTGCTGCTACTAGTTGGCTTGATTGATACTGCTTACTGTCAAAGTAAGTTGTTCTAGCACTATTATTACAGTCATTTTGCTTGGGAGGAATGTAAAAGTAAAGGTTTATGTAGTGTGCGCACTGACATATGTGATCCGATATGACAAAACCAGGCTACTTGTACCTGTGGGGAATTATTAATTAGAGATATGGCTTCCCAAAGTTGTGACAGTGGTACCTTATCAAATTTGAGGTTTTATCAAAAATGTATCATAATTACATGTATAATATAAAATTTTCTTTTATTTGATACCAAATTTGCTAATAAAAGAGTTACAGATGATATTTTAAAGACCTTTTTCGTAGAGCAGCATGTAAATAACGCAAGCTAAATGCATAAAAACGGCTATAACTCAATTACATTGATTCAAAATTCTTGTTGCATACATGTATATGTATACTATCATAACTTGGCAGAGTCAGCACTGGATGTGTCAAATGACATGGGACAAAGACCTAAAGCAAGGAAAAGTCAAGCTTATTTAAGAAGAGCTTAAACCTTAATTTTCAATTTTGGAGCATTTAGCCTGGTTTTGTCATATCAGGTCACATACCGT